TCCAATCCCACTCCTGGTTCTCCTCCCATATTAACAAATGGCAACACATTCATCCAGGAGCTCATTTAGAAATCTAGAAGTTATTCTTGACTCTTCCCTTTTGCATGTCTCTTGCCTCTGATTCAATCCTCCAGCAGATTCTACCACAAAACACATTTCAATTGTATCTACTCTTCATGTCCATTCTCCTGGGCGTCCACCACAAAGTCGGTGAGAATAGATGAGTATCACAGACAGGTTCGGACCTTTATAACTCAGAGGTGTGACCCTAGAGAAAAGAGATAGCTTCTCTCTTCCAGCATTCACATAAAATCCCAGCAAAGAAGTGGCGAGGTTTGGCTCATCTGCCAATCATTCTGACCAGAGGGATGTAAACAATGCCAGACTAAGAGAAACATCACCACCTGCTCAGAAAGGAGGCTGGTGACCAGGCCATCACCTCCCTGTGTGATGTCACCTCCTGTGTGATGTCACCTCCCTGTGTGGGCTTTGCTGTCTTGTGTCCACTCCCCATGCAGGCCAGAACTCTTGAAGTTATGGGCTCTTCAATGAATCTTTGTCATTATAATGCCTAGAAGCTTTGAGGATTTCCTAGAATAAATCTTATACAGAACTTGTAAATTAAAAGAGGTCTTTTTGGCTGGACACAGTGGCTCATGCCTATAATCCCAGCACTCTGGGAGGCTGAGGAGGGTGGATCACCTGAGGTCAGGAGTTTGAGACCAGCCTGGCCAACATGGCAAAACCCCACCACTACTAAAAATGCAAAAATTAGCCAGGCGTGGTGTCTCATGCCTATAATCTCAGCTACTCAGGAGGCTGGGCCATGAGAATCACTTGATTGCTTGAACCTGGGACTTGCAGTGAACCAAGATCCACCACTAACTCCGGCCTGGGTGACAGACCGAGATTCCTTTTCAAAAAAAAATTTTTTTTTAAGCCTTTTAGGGCTTGGAAAACACATGATTATATCTGGTTGGATTGTTGGATTGAGGGGTCTGGTTCTAAGTGGAAGGTGTCAATCCCCGTGTTCTTTTTCAGTCTCTCAGGAAGCTTTCAGCTCAGCAAGGTTCCAGAATAGTTACAGATATATGAATAGATGTAGATAGCTCATGTAGACAGAGATAGACATAGATATTGACATAGATTCACATGCATTCTAATCTTTAAATATATGATGTGATATCAATTATACATACCAGAAAATGCATAGTTGAAGAACTACACAGTAAGATATATGTATAAAAAGAAGCAAAGCCAGAGTTTTTTCCTATTCCCATAGCCCATCTCTGAACACCTACAGTAATTCAAATTAATCTATTCCATTGAAACCTACATGTCTTCTCTTGACATTTTTATAGTTACAGAGTTCAACTGGAATTCTGATTTCCCAGAACAAAAATAAGCCAGGAAAACATCTCCCAGAGTCAGAGAAAGCCATTCTTCCCATTAATGTTCTTCTTTTGAAAAACCAGCAGAGGGCGAGCAAGATGGCAGATAAAACCCCTCGGGCAGACACGGCAGCCCAGGAAACTTCCCAGCAATTCCCACTGCATAGCAGCCAAATGTGGATTCCCAACTCAAGAACGCAAAAATGCAGAAATATGGCCTTGAACGCTAATTTGGTTTAACCCTGGCATTTCCAAGTTGTTTCACTCCAATTTGGGTCTGTCATAGAGGCTAAATCTGGCTGCTCGTCTCCTAGAGACCAGTTTTGGAAAGATACGTCTCAGAAAGTAGAGGGCTGGGCTTGCTGGCTCACCCCTGCAATTCTAACATTTTGGGAGGCCAAGGTGGGAGGATCCCTTGCACAGAGGAGTTCAAAACCAGCTTGGGCAACATAACAAGACTCAGTCTCTACAAAAAAAATACATGTATATATATATATATATATTTTTTTTTTCAATTATTACCCCAAGTGTGATGGCATGTGTCTGTAATCCCAGCTACTGTGGGGCTTAGGTGGGGGGATCCCTTGAGTCCAGGAGATTGAGGCTGCAGTGAACCACGATCGTACCACTGCACTCCATCCTGGATGACAGAGGGAGACTGTCTTAAAATACATACATATATATATATATACATATATATTTTAAATATAAACATATATACATTTTAAAAATATATACATATATATACACATACACACACACACACACACGAAAATGCACAGAAGAGGGCAGAGGATAACAGTCTATTTCTTATTTTAATGATAGGGTATCAAATGCTTGCAGCAAGCAGAACATGACTTCCGAGCACTCAAGTATTTCTCAGCATCTGTAGAATTTAAAAAGAAGGAAATCAAGGGAAGGAAAATTTATTTTCATATACCCTCAGTTCTGAATAAAGACACATAGAAGCATTATGGAGAGAAAAGATAAGAATTTTATAAGTCTCCATGTTGGATAGTGATAAGAATTTTCTATTGAAATGTTAAAATGTGTGACGTATGGCCTCTATCCAGTTAGGTCGCCTTGTGAGCCATTTGGGTAAAGTGCTCTTTATACTGTAACTCAGTGTGTCAAAGATCAGTTGTTACTAGATGGGCACAATTTTTTTCAAAATGATAAAATCCAGTTTGGGCAAAAGTCTGGGAATATGAGCCATTTTGTACACTCTTCGCTGGAGGGTAAATGGATACAACTTTTGGAAGGCAATTAGGCAATGTCCATTCTAATTTTGTGTGAATATCCTACACGATCCCTCATTCTGACTTCTGTCCTGTAAAAATACTAGTAAACATGTTCAAAAAGATGTGTGTAAAAACCTTCATTGTAGCACTGTTTGTAATAAAGTTTAAAAAGAACTTAAAACTTCACTAAAAGCAAACAGATTCATTATGGCTTGTTACATGCCCTAGTACCATTCTAGAGGCTCTACCTGCATTAATTTATTTCATCCCCACCGCAAGCACTTTTTTTCCTTTTATTTGTATACTTGTTTTTTTTCTTTTGAGACAGAGTCTCACTCTATTGCCCAGATTGGAGTGCAATGCCACTTGGCTCACTACAACCTTCACCTCCCAGGTTCAAGTAATTCTCCTGCCTTAGCCTCCCCAGTAGCTGGGACCACAGGCACGCACCACCACACTGGGCTAATTTTTGTATTTTTTAGCAGAGAAGGAATTTCACTACATTGGCCAGTCTGCCCTCGAACTCCCTACCTCAGGTGATCTGCCCAACTTAGCCTCCCAAAATGTTGGGATTATCGGTGTGAGCCACCACACCCAGCCTATTTTTATAAATTTCAGGGGTACAGGTATAGTTTAATTACATGGCTATATTGCATAGTGGTGAGGTCTGGGCTTTGAGTGCATCCATCACCTAAAGACTGTGGATTGGACTCATTAAGTAATTTCTCATCACCCACCGTCCTCCATCCTCCCACCTTTCCCAGTCTCTCATGTTTACCACTGCACACTCTATGTCAATGTATACTCATGACTCAGCTCCCACTTATAAGTGAGAACATGTAGTATTTGACTTTCTGAGTTGTTTCCCCTAAGATAATGGCCTCCAGTTCCAACCATGTTGCTGCAAAAAACATTTGATTCTTTTTCATGGCTGCATAGTATTCCATTGTATATATACACCACATCTTCTATATCTGATTAGCCATTGGTGGATACTTAGGTTGATTCCATATCTTTGCTATTTTGAATAGTGCTGTGATAAACATATGAATGCAGGTATCTTTTTGATATAATTTTTATCTATTTTCCTCTGGGTAGATACATAATAGTAGAATTGCTAGATCATATGATAGTTCTATTTTTAGTTCTTTGAGAAATCTCCATCCTGTTTTCCATAAAAGTCATACTCATTTACATTCCCACCAACAGTGTATAAGCATTCCTTTTTCTTTATATCCTCAACATCTGTTATCTTCTTACTTTTTAATACTAGCCAATCTGACTGTTACGATATCTCACTGTGATTTTAATTTTCATTTCTTTGAGGATTACTGATTATGAGCATTTTTCATATGCTGCTATAAGCATTTTATCAGAACACATTTTACAGATGGAGAAATTAAGACCCAGAGAGGGGAAGTCATTTGTCCAAGTTCACACAGAACCTGAGAGGCACAAGTTAGCATCCAATCCAAGTAGTCTATGCTCTTAATTCCTACGTTCTACCTAGCCTCTTACCGCGCTGGTAAATATACTCTGGAGGCTAAGGCAAGAGAATCACTTCAACCCAGGAGGTGGAAGTTGCAGTGAGCTGAGATCCTGCCACTACACTCCAGCCCGGGATACAGAGTGAGATTCTGACTCAAAAAAAAAATTAGCTGGGCGCGTGGCGGCACTGTGACCAACAAGGAATTTCAGGGTGCCTGTAGTCTCAGCTACTCAGGAGCCTGAGGCAGGAGAATCGCTTGAACCTGGGCAATGGAAGTTGTAGTGAGCCGAGATCCTGCCACTACACTCCAGCCTAGATCTCAAAAAAAAAATAAATAAATAAAAGAAAAAGAAATGTGGAGAGACAGTATAATCTCATCAAAACTGTTTATGTGTCAATATATAACCTGCTACATTATTTGAAGTGGTTTCCGGCTGGGCGTGGTGGTTCAGCCTGTAATCCCAACACTGGGAGGCTGAGGCAGGTGGATCATTTGACGTTAGGAGTTAGAGACCAGCGTGGCCAACATGGTGAGACTCTATCTCTACTAAAAGTACAAAAATTAGCCAGGCATGGGGGCAGATGCCTGTAATCCCAGGTACTTAGGAAGCTGAAGCAGGAGTATCACTGGAACCCAGGAGGTGAAAGTTGCAGTGAGCCAAGATCCTCCACTGCACTCCAGCCTGGGTGACAAGGTGAGACTGTCTCAAAAACAAAACAAAACAAAAAAAGTGGTTTCTGCTTTCCACGCCACCCACAGTTCTGGATTCCCATCATAACTTAAAGGGAACCTTTCACAACTTCCAGAGTCCCTGATGTCCTGCAAATGGAGGATGTCCTTAAGTTCTGCAGCAGGAACCCACTTAGGTGGCACCAACCTTGGCTTCTAAATGGAACAGCACATCTACAAAAGGAAAAGTGATGGCATCTACATCAGAAATCTGAAAAGGACCTGGGAGAAACTTCTAAGGGCAGCTCGTGCCATTGCTGCCATTGAAAACCCCACTGATGTCAGCGTCATATCTTCCAGGAATACTGGCCAGAGAGTGGTGCTGAAATTTGCTGCTGCCACTGGAGCCACCCCAGTTGTTGCTGCTTCACTCCTGGGACCTTCACCAACCAGATCCAGGCAGCCTCCCAGGTGCTACGGCTTCTTGCGTTTACTGACCCCAGGGTTGACCATCAGCCTCACACAGAGGCATCTTATGTTGACCTTCCCACCATTGCTCTGTGTCACACAGATTCTCCTCTGCGCTATGTGAACATTGCCATCCCATGCAACAACATGGGAGCTCACTCAACGGGTTTAATGTGGTGGATGATGGCCAGGGAAGTTTTGCGCATGTGTGGTACCATTTCCCATGAACACCCGTGGGAGGTCATTCCTCATCTCTACTTCTACAGAGATCCTGAAGAGACCGAAAAAGAAGAGCAGGCTGCTGCTGAAAAGCCTGTGACCAAAGAGGAATTTCTGGGTGAATGGACTGCTCCAGCTTCTGAATTCACTGCTACCCAGCCTGAGGTTGCAGACTGGTCTGACGGCGTGCAGGTGCCCTCTGTGCCTATTCAGCAGTTCCCTACTGAAGACTGGAGCACCCAGCCTGCCACGGAAGACTGGTCTGCAGCTCCCACTGCTCAGTCCACTGAATGGGTCAGGGCAACCACTGAATGGTCTTAAGCTGTTCTTGTACCGGCTCTTAAGCAACATGGAAGTAAGGTTGATGGAAAATAAACATCAGTTTCTAAGAATGAAAAAAAGAAGTGGTTTTCCCTGGGGAGAGGGATTAATAGAGAAGAGGTAAAGAGAAGCATGTTCACTTTTTTTTTTTTTAATTTTTCATTGGATTTTAGGTTTTGGGGTACATGAGCAGAGCATGCAAGACAGTTGCATAGGAACACACATGGCAGTGTGCTTTGCTTTCCTTTTCCCCTTCACCCACGTTTGGCATTTCTCCCCAGGCTATCCCTCCCCACCTCCCCCTCCCACTGGTCCCCCCTTTTCCCCCCTATAGACCCCAGTGTTTAGTACTCCCCTTTCTGTGTCCATGTGTTCTCATTTGTCATCACCTGCCTATGAGTGAGAATATGTGGTGCTTCAATTTCTGTTCTTGTGTCAGTTTGCTGAGGATGATGTTCTCCAGATTCATCCATGTCCCTACAAACGACACAAACTCATCATTTCTGATTGCTGCATAATATTCCATGGTGTATATGTGCCACATTTTTCCAATCCAGTCTATTATCAGTGGGCATTTGGGTTGATTCCAGGTCTTTGCTATTGTAAACAGTGCTGCAGTGAACATTCGTGTACATGTGTCCTTAGAGTAGAACGATTTATAGTCCTTTGGATATATACCCAGTAATGGGATTGCTGGGTCAAATGGAATTTCTATTTCTAAGGCCTTGAGGAATCGCCACACTGTCTTCCACAATGGTTGAACTAATTTACACTCCCACCAACAGTGTTAAAGTGTTCCTTTTTCTCCACATCCTCTCCAGCATCTGTTGTCCCCAGATTTTTTAATGATCGCCATTCTAACTGGCGTGAGATGGTATCTCAATGTGGTTTTGATTTGCATGTTCACTTTTTACCACGTGTAAGAATACGTATTTTTAATTCATTATAAGCATAAATACCTTATATAAAGTTTTTAAAATTTTTGTACAGACAAGGTCTCATTCTGTTGCCCAGGCTGGGGTACAGTGGCACAATCACAGCTCATTGCAGCCTCAAATTCCTGGGCTCAAGTAATTCTCCTGCCTCACCTTCCCAAATAGCTGGGACTATAGGCACGGGCCACTATGCAGAGCTAATTTTTTAAAACTTTTTTTCAGCCGGGAGCAGTGGTTCACACCTGTAATCTCAGCACTTTGGGAGGCTGAGGTGGGTGGATTGCTTGAGCCCAGGAGTTCGAGACCAGCCTGAGTAACATAGCAAAACCCTATCTCTACTAAAAATAACAGAAATTAGATGGACGTGGTGGCACATGCTGTAGCCCCAGCTACTCGGGAGGCTGAGGCAGGAGAATTGCTTGAACCTAAAAGGCAGAGGTTGCAGTGAGCAGAGATTGCGCCACTGCACTCCAGCCTGGGCAACAAAGTGAGCCTCAATCTCAAAAAAAAAGATTTGTTTTTTCACTCGACATTTTCCCACTTTCACTCCAATCTGATTTTTTTTTTTTTTTGCCTCAGCACCCAAGTCAACATGAAGAACGGGCATCTACCGTGTACCAGGCACTGTGCTTGGTGCTTTTGTACTTTTTATTGCTTAGTTCTCCCAACAACAAACTCTGCAAGACAGGTGCTATGATCCTCATATTCCACTGAAAGGACAGATTCAGAGAAGTTAAAAAGTAGCTTCAGGTTGTGCCACTTGTAAGTGACAGAGCTGGAGCTTGACCCTGTGTCTGACAACCTCTAAAGTCCACATCCTTTCCAATAATCCGCACTTCCTCAAAACATGTATTTATATGTCTCGTGTCTATATCATTTCCGTCCAGGTCATTCCACAGTAAATGCTTGGAATGTAGAGATCAATGAAGTCTGGTATGCAAATGGTACTCTCATTCCATCACCTTTTTCTTGAGTTGTGTTTAATGTTCACACAGCAAGCTGTGAGGTTGTCCGAACATGAAGATTTCCCTAATATAAAGCCACATTGATTCTGTTCTGGTAGAAAGAACATTTGTGTTCAGGATGACCAGATATAGCAGTGGTAGCCGAAAGAAGAGGCAGGAGGGTGCCGAAATCTCAGTTGCCTGCGTGGTGGCTGATGTTCCTGAAACCCTACTTTGGTCAGCTTTTCATTTCCTTAGAATGTGAAGTATTTTTAACCTGCTGCTGGAATTCTGTTCATCTCACGAAAGGAAGACTCATCACACTCTTAGCTAGGCTGTGATAATAAACCAGAAGAAAGACTGAATGCGGTGGCTCATGCATGTATCTCAGCACTTTGGGAGGCCGAGGTGGGAGGATCACTTGAGCCCGGGAGAGACCAGACTGGGCAATGTAATGAGACTCTGTCTCTTAAAAAAAAAATTAGCTGGGCATGGTGGCACATGCCTGTAGTCCCAGCTACTCTGGAGGCTGAAGTGGGAGGATCACTTGAGCCCAGGCGTTGGAGGCTGCAGTGAGCTAGCTATGATCGTGCCACTGCAGTCTAGCCTGGGTAACAGAGCAAGACTCAGTCTCTTAAATAAACAAGTAAATCAAAGCAGAAGGAAAGAATTGTTCTGATGCTGACAGTACTGGAATACTCCTACGGCTAGATTTGCCTGAGGTTAGCCAAGAAAACGAATATATTTCCCAGATTTAATAAGAGTATAAAAAAGAGCATAAACAAATGCTCATTGGAAAGGAATAAAGTATTTAAAAGTCTTTAGAAATGCAAAACTTTCTGTGAGATCTTCCTACTTTCTCTTTTTTTTCCTGAGATGAGGTCTCACTCTGTCATCCAGGCTGGAGTGCAGTGGCACAATCTCGGCTCACTGCAACCTCCAACTCCCAGGCTCAAGCAATTCTCCCAACTTGGCCTCCCAAGTAGCTGGGACAACTGATGCATGCCACCATGCCCAGCTAATTTTTCACATTTTGGTAGAGACGGGGTTTCACCATGTCGCCAAGGCTGGCCTTGAACTCTTAGCTCAAGTGAACTTCTAGGCCTCCCAAAGTGTTAGGATTACAGGTGGGAGGCAGCATGCCAGGCCCCTACCCTACTTTTCTTTCTTGCTTGCCTTTTTTTTTTTTTTTTTGAGACGGAGAGGCTCACTCTCTCACCTAGGCCAGAGTGCAGTGGCACGGTCTCAGCTCACTGCAGCCTCAACCTCCCAGGCTCAAGCAATCCTCCCACCTCAGCCTCCCAAGTAACTGGAACCACAGGCGCATGTCACCACACCCAGCCAATTTTTTTTTATTTTATTTTTTACTTCTAATAGAGATGAAGTCTCACTATGTTGCCCAGGCTGGTCTCCAACTCCTGGGTTCAAATGATCCTCCCACCTCAGCCTCCCAAAGTGCTGAGATTACAAGGATGAGCCACTGTGCCTGGCCTGATCCTCCTACTTTTCAAGTTCTAGATTAAATAACCTGCGTAATTCAACAGAAGCAAAAGAAATAAGATTGTTCATTCAATAGAAACAAGGATGGTTGCTTGCGGCTTTAGGATTACTGACGTACTAGCATGATTCCCAAGTCTCTGCTTGGGATATGAGTTTGACTGAGAACTTCTAGTAATAATGAACTAAGAGACCAGATTTTTTTTTTTATTGCAAGACACATTTTTCTCTATATTTTCCTTCAAAATAACTTCTATTTCTTTTGCTGCTGTTAATCACTAAGTGACGAATGTCTATTGGGAAGAGGTTGAAAAACATTGAATAAAGACAGATACAAAAATCACACTTATTACTAGTTAAAATGACCAATCAATAGCTTGATGTCACCTTCCTAGGTCAATGTGTATGTGAATATATTTTCAGGGTTCTTGGCTTGCTTTATTATTGTGCTGAATCTACTATTTTCTACTTTTTTGCTTAACAGTTTGTTTTGAATATTCTCTTATATTATTAAGTAATCTTCTCTAATATTAAAATAATCAATGGAAGAAATGAAGAAATAAAATGTTTAATATTAAGCGTAAGGCTCATGTTAACTGAGCTACATCCAATTTCACCAGCTTCAGGACACAATAAAGCCAAATGTCTCTTGTTTTGGAGTTTTTGTTTTGTTTTGTTTTGTTTTGGAGACAGAGTCTGTCATGCTGTCACCCGGGCTGGAGAGCAGTGGCACAATCTTGGCTCGCTGCAGCCTCTGCCTCCCAAATTCAAGCAAGCCTCCTGCCTCAGCCTCCCACATAGCTGGGATAACAGGTGCACACCCCTATACCCAGCTAATTTTTGTATTTTCACCATGTTGGCCAGGCTGGTCTCAAACTCCTGACCTCAAGAGATCCCCCGCCTCAGCCTCGCAAGGTGCTGGGGTCCCCATGCCCAGCCATCACATATCTCTTCATAGTCGAATCAAGGTTTTCTGAAACTTCGCCTTGTCAGTTGAATAATCTTTTTCTCCTCTTTGTGAGTCTTCTCTCTCATTATAACTTGAAGAACCCCAAGAGTGCTTCAGGTAAGAGATGAGTCCGGGCTACCACCACCTCAGGTGAAAAACAGCTGAAAGCTCTACATGAGCTAGGGATTGCCAGCTGCTATAACAAACCTCCACATTTGAGTGGCCTAACGCAGCAAAAAGTTATTTCTTACTTGCTGAAGGGTTCAAACCTGTGTTCCCTGCTGGGTGGGGAGGGTGATGGGGAGCAGCTCTGATTTTGCTCTCTCTAGACACTGGCATCAGCCAGCAGAAAAGGGAAATGCCCGGAGGATCCCCACATGAGATCCTCACGGGGCTTCCACCACACCCCACTGGCAGGAGTCAGTTCCACGGCCATACCTCACTGCCAGGCTGCTGGGAAACGTGGTATGACTCTGTGCCTAGGAAGAAGAGAACGTGAATTTTGATAAGTACTATTTCTATTGCTATTTCTGTTACCTTCTACTCTTTGGGCACCAAATGCAGACAGTCCTTACTTGTAATTTTTCAACTAGTTATTTTTTTACTTTATGGTAGTGCAAAAGCAATATGAATTCAGTAGAAACAGTACTTCAAATACTCATACAGCCATTCTGTTTTTCATTTTCCATATGGTATTCAATAAATTACGTAAGATATTTAACACTTTCATACAAAATCAGCTT